CATCCATCATCTATCTATCTATCTATCTATCTATCTATCTATCTATCTATCTATCTGTCTATCTATCTATGTCTTATCTGTCTGTCTCTCAGATAGACACTGCAGATGGATGGTTGTGCCTATCATTAGAGGAGGAGAAGAGTAGACTAAATTACCTATTGGAAATTGGGTGGTGGCAGGGTCAGTGGAGTGATGAGATCAAAAATCAGGACCTCACCTTGAGGGGATGTGAGATGTTTGTTTGCAGCAGACCTTCTGGGGAGTGGGATGAAGCATCAATTAATGAAGAGTCAGAGCATTGCTTAGCTCCCAGGAGGCCCACCCTCAGCCCAGTTGTGTGACTTCTCTAGTTTCATTCATTGGCATCACTGATTGGTTTTAGAAGGGCCAGGCCTGTGACTTTCATTTTCTCAAGAAGACATTTTACAAAGACTTTATTTATAACTGCATGATTTGCAAGTTTCACATATACTTTTCTCCAGTTTTCCTGTGCTGCTTGGAAAGGTTGAATTTAGAGCTAGGTGCCAATTACTTAGTTTCTAAATAATTGGAAAATGGCTAATGAAATTACTGACACATCCTTGGTTTGGGAGTTGTGGAAAGGTGACACCAATCATTGAGTCTCACAGGCCTTTGCTTTTGCTTGTGTCTTTGCTTTTATTTATTCAAAAAAAATCTGCAGGCACAGCATAGAACTAAGTTGGGAAACCATTGCACTCCAGGATGAGAGCTTTGGCTGCAGCCCTTGGAGTGAAAAACAGAAGCAGCAGTATGAGTCCTAGAGCAGGCCCCTAAGAAACTAGCCTTTCCCCATTGGCTTTTGCTAAAACATATCAATCAGTGACTCAGTGGTGAAAGAAGCTGAATATGAACAAAGAAAGCGTGTACTACCTGTCTCATCCTTCCACCCTTGCAGAACTTAGGGTTTCTAACTGTATAGACTCTTGTCTTCCAAGCACCGATCTCCAGGCTGCTGAGCTTTAGGCAATGGGCCAAGGCTGGTCCCCAGACTTTTCTGGAGCCCTTCTAGCCTCATCCACTGTTCCTTAGAGAGGCAGTAGTTTTAAATAATAATAATAATAATAAATGAGGATAGGTCTGAAGTAATCAGTGTCAGGTGTATGCCAATTACATTAGTCTTGTGTTGAGCTATAGAATACGCCATGACTTGGTAAAATTGAGTGTAATTGAAGAAACATTACATTCCTGAACAGTGTTCTAGAATTGTTGCTGATAAGAATAGATTGTTCTGAAAATGACCACAGATCTGTGCTATTTTATTCAATGGGTCAGTAGGCCAGGCACTGTGCAAAGTACTGGAGTTGCAAAGAACCCCCGCCTTCCTCCTCCCCACCAAATATAACCCACAATATTGTTTCCAGTTAATTTCTTTATGCTTGAAAAGCTCTTTATCAATTGTAATTTTATTACATTGTGGTGAGAAAAAGATGCATTTAATATTTTTGCCTTTTTTTGCATTTTTTTGTGAGGTTTTTATGCCCTAATATATGGTAGATTTTTGTGAAGGTGCCATCCATGTCTGAGAATAAGTATACTTCTATTCCCATTCAGTATTCTTCAGAGGTTTGTCATAGCTAACTTTTCTGAAATTCTATTCATTTCCTTAATGTCCTTATTTATTTCATGGGTAGATGAAAATATTGAATGCTTCCAGAATTTACATGTCATGCTTGTGCAGAAGCCATGCTAATCTTTGTATGTTCCAATTTTAATATATATATGCTGCTGGAGGAAGCGCTCATTCATTTATTTCATTCATGCCTAGCTATTTACACATCTCCCCCAGGAGACTGTGCTTCATGAGGGCAGGAACAGTGTTTGTGCCTCTCTTTGTATCCCCAGCACTTAGCACAGTGCCTCGCACACAGCCGGTGCTTAATAATTGCTTGTTGACTAAATGAGTGACTGAATAACTAACTTACTGAAAGTAGGCTTTAGCTCTCTGGAGGTGATATGAGCATTATCTGTTAGTTTTGTTTTACTTGAGGGTGAGCCCTTCCCCTTCTTCCCCACCCCATGTTGCTTGACATTAAAAAAGGTAGTTACAATGTATGTATAATTTCAGCATCTAATGTATTGGATTATGGTAATACATGGCAGCAAGTTAGTGCATTAAACATTATTCAGATATTCTTTAGATTTTGTTTTTGTTTTGAAAGCTATCTGTATTACTATCCTCAAGCTAATTTATGCAGCACATTTATATGAATGACTTTTTTTCTGTGTTATTTAGACCCTCCACATAGTGAGAAATCTTTGTGTCCTGAGTACAAGCTTTGTTAGCTTGGAACACTGTTATCTATTTGACTGGATGCAATTTCTCAGAATGAGTGAACGTTGATGTTTGACCGATGCTGATTGGACAAGCGTCCTCGAGATGCTCTTGGAAGTTGACATGGTTTCTGATTTTGGCTTTCAGGTCATTCACTAAAAGCACATGGCAAAGACTGGCTTCTTGCTCTTTCTGGAGTTTTTGTATCATTATTTGTCAAAAAGCAAGTGTGATCTTGACTTCAGAGTAATTAGAGTTCCCCCAGTTTGACAGAAAAATCAAACTATGTAAATTATGTTGTTCCTAAGAAATAGGATTTGATTGTGTGGAATGCCACGTCAGATAGGTCATTCGCCCTGGCTGCCAAGGTCACGACGTTGGGTCCCAGCTCTCTTCCAGGAAGCTTGGCAGTGTCTTGGGTGTTGACGATCATGCGACAGACACCGTCCCCGAAGTGGAAGCATCCGGAGGTCCACATCATCCCTTGGGAATCCCTCCCCAGCTTGGACTTTGCCCCGGATCCCCCTTATGGTACAGATACTTTGGCTGAGCTTATGTCGCCCTTGTCGTAGGCCTCTCCTGAGCTTGACTGTCATTGAGCAGGGCGCTTCCATTGTCATATCTCCCGGGGAATCCTCAATGACCTTGAATTGTTGGAGGGCAGCCGTTTCGCCTTAAGACAGGCTGTAAGTAAGGCAGCGTGTCATTCTCTTCTTCAAATCAGCCCACACGAGGCACGCCTGCTGGAACCCTGAGTTTTCTCATCTGTGAGGTGGGAAGGATGCTGTATGGTTGTTGCAGTGGTCCCGGACCTCTCCTGCTGGTGCCCCCGCTGGTGCAGGGTGGCCCTCTTCCAGACCCTGGAGAGCAGGGGAGCCATCCCTTGTCTTGGTATCAGTACAGGCCGGGCCCTTGTCCTGCCCTTTGGTCTCCTTCCTTCCCTGAGGTACCTGGGAAATGGCTTGCTCTGCATCTTCACTGTGGAAGGGCTCCCTTTCAGCAGCCATCCCCTCTCACTCCATTTGCTCCTCCCTGTGTGCACCAGGGACGGAGCTGTGGTCCTTCTGCACCTCTCTTGTGTTTTCTGTCTGTTCGGAGGGCCCTTTTCACCTTGGTCCTTGGCTCATTCATGTCTTTCACAAGTTGCCTTGAGCTCGGTTTTACCCTCTGGGTGGGGGCCGCTTCTGTCTGCCTTGTGAGATGAGGTTGCTCAGACACGTCTGTCATCCTTCCACAAGTTTGTGTTCTAATCTGGTGTTGCCTTTGGCCACAGTGAGTCAGATGCCTAGAAATGAGTCATGGTGGGTCACAACCTGGCTGATTAGAGTCTAGAGATAGGGGCCAACTGGACCTTTGATTGTATTGTTCTAAGAAACTCCCCCCACCAGTGCAGACAGGCCAGCAGCTTCTATGCATGTTCTAGTTGTAGAGAGTGACCTAGAACACCTGAGAGGGTCCAGGGCCCCACAGCCAGGATGTGTCAGAAGCCAGACATGAACCCAGGTCTCCCTGGCTCCCGGTCTGATTATAATGAGTCACTACCAATAGCTGGTAACTTCAGTCCAAGCAGAGTGGTCCTTCACTGCTTCTACTCCATTCCTGTTTGAATGGTCTCTAGCTTAAGCCAATTTTACAATTTGTCTTATACTGGCTCAGGCTTAGAATAGCCACAATATCTGAATACTTAAACCACAACTCAAATGAAGTTGATTCTCTGTGTGTGTACACATATGTACTTGATTAAAAAAAAAATAATAAGTGTATCAAGGGCACGTCTTCCTCAGATGCTTCATTTGGTTATGGAGGCTTCTCAGAGCCTCATGGCCTTAGGGTATCAGGCTGGTGCTAGCCGACGGGCCCAAGCAAGGCTGTGGAGAGTGGACGGTGCATCTGCAGTCTTAGGATGGCCCCAGTAAAATTCCGAGAGGCTGACTTTGAAGTAGCCAGTACGGCCACCCTGCCGGCTCATCCTAAGTCGCAGAGGGTTACAGTGGGGCCCCTTCAGTTGAGCTGCACCCACCAGCCCACTCCCAGATCCCTGAAGTGTTCAGGGAGGAATTGTGTGCTCTCTCTCATGGAATCCTCATGCAGCCAACCTGTCCTGGGCCTCTTGGTGTCCCGAGCTCCTGTGGGTCTTTTATCAATCAAACAATCAAGTATTTGTTAAGCAGTCGTCATGTGTCAGGCACTGTGCTCATCAGTAGTAGGAACACAAAGCAAGCCCCAGACAGCCCTACCTTCCGGGAGCTTCCAGCTCACACATCAGCCAATAGAAGATCACCACAGAGTGGTGACCAGGGGATCTGAGGGGATCGCTTCGGGAGCTGGGAGCTGGGGCCCCTTGAAGCAGACGGCACTTAGGAGCTAGAGGCAGAGAAGAGGGGAGAAATGGTGTAGGCTTGGGGCCGATGGCCTGGGCACAGGCTTAGAGATTGGAGACAGTATGCGGACTGTGAGAAGAGCATGTCAGCCAGGGTAACCAGAAGGAGAATGGGGTACACCAACCTTTGGAAAAGGAGGCTGGAGGTCGAAGGCTTTAAATGTGATGTAGACAAGTTGGTATTTTACTTTGGAGGGATTGAGTGACGCGGTCAGCACTGGGCACCAGGAGTATCACTGGCAGCTGGCAGGCGGCTTGGCCGGGCCAGACATCCGGCGTGAGGGGGCTGATTATATTATGACGTCGAATCCCTGCATTTGATTTCAGAACCTTTTGGCTGAAAAAGTGGAGCAGCTGATGGACTGGAGTGTGAGGCGCTCAGTTATCCGAATGAATGGGGACAAGTTCCGGAGGTTTGTGAAGGCCCCCCCCCGGAACTACTCAGTTGTGGTGATGTTTACGGCCCTGCAGCCACAGAGGCAGTGCTCCGTGTGCAGGTAACATTTTCTGAGGTCTTCCCTTTTTCGTTTCCTTTGAAGACTGCTTATTCTTGATCAAAATTCTTACACTGAGCCACTCCGGGGAAGGAAGGTAGAGTGTTCTAAAATCGTTTCCCAGGGAGGTAGATGCATGCAGCTCTCTTGAATTCAGTAGATAACTGTTATGATTCCATTAAATTAAATATTTGAGGGGTGTCGGAGAGAAGGTCATGGTATGCATCAGATACAAATGAAACAACTCCATGGTTTAAAAAGTGCTGGTCTGCTTACCGTGATTTCTATTACATTGCCATTACCAGTCTGAGTGCTGGAATTGTTCAGGCAAAGCTACTTCATTCCTGCTTGTCTTCCATTCAGATATTCCAGGCAGGAGGCAAATTAGACCCCTGAAGTTAACATCTGAAAGTGCAATTTGCCCACTTTAAGAGGAAAAGCTGCTTAATATTTAGAAATTTGCAAAACGGCACCCAGTGAAAGGGAAGGGTTATATACCTGTGTATAATAATGCCTGTGTATCAGGCCCCTTTTCCCCCACACAAGTCTGCCTGTCACTTTAAAAAGGCTAAGGGAGCTCCTGTCCCCTAATGAAGACAGCCTGGATGGCGCGTGGGAGGCGCATTTTATAGAAGAGAATCTGTAGGAAAGCAAGGTTTCTGATGCATTAGGGTTGGGCAGGGTGGCGCAGCAAACCCCAGGCATACGGTGTGCCTGTCTGGGCAGTCAGCTGTAGCTGCTGTGGTAGAGGCCAGTTTGTGGATTCTCCATAATTCAGAACGTCCCGGGTGGGTCTTCCCACCACGGGATAGTTTATTGAGGGGAGCCCAGGAGGGACAGGACTAGGCCTGGGCCCCAGGAAGCCCATCGTGGTACCTCTGCCTGATAGACTGAAGGGGCCTGGAAATAGGGACCAGTGATGGGTACAGTCGATTAGCATCCAGGAGAGAGGTGACCATTGTTTGATGAGGGAGGCGGGGATGCAATTGAGAGATAGTAGGGAGAGATACACCAGCCCAGAGGCGGGAAGACCTGAGTTCAAGTCCCACCTTTGAACCTGACTGGCTGTGTGACCCTGGGCTAGACACGTAATTCTCTGAGTGCCCTAGGCCATGCTCTAAGACGTTGCTTCTCAAACTTATTGGTCTTAGGACCCTTTTACGCTCTAAAAACTTATGAAGGACCTCCCCCCCCCCCAAGAGCTTTTATGTATGTGTGTTGTATCTATTGGTGTTACTATATTAGAAATTAAAATAGTCTAGTATTATTGTGAAGATAGTTTGGACTTCACCTATCCCCTTAGTGACCTCTGGGGCTCCCAGGCCACACTTTGAGACAAGGGGCTAAGGGGGAGGTAGGTGGTATAGTGATAGTGCACTGGCTGTGAAGTCGGGAGGACCTGAGTTCAAATGTGGCCTCAGACCAAACACTTGAAACTTACTAGCTGTGTGACCCTGGGCAAGTCACTTAACCCCAATTGCCTAAAAATAAAAAGAAAAATTAAAAAAAAAAGAATGCTTGAAATTGCTCTACTTCATTGAATGTCTGTTTTGGGGTAGCTAGGTGGAGCAGTGGATAGAGCACCGGCCCTGAAGTCAGGAGGACCTGAGTTCAAATCTGGCCTCAGATCAAACACTTGACACTAGCTGTGTGACGCTGGGCAAGTCACTTAACCCCAACTGCCTAAAAAAAAAAAAAGTAAAGAGAGAGAAGGGGCTAAGCTGCATTTGTAGGGGGAGTTTCCTCATCTGGAATTTTTTTTTGTCGTTTTCATTTTCAATGAAGTCCATCTCTTTGCTTTGTGACCTCATTTCAGGGTTTTCTTGGCAAAGATACTGGAGTGGTTTGCCATTTCCTTCTCCAGCCTATTTTACAGATGAGAAAACTGAGGCAAACAGCGCAGCTAGTAGGTGTCTGTGTCTAATCTGTTACCTAGGCTAATGGATTCTGCCTCTTCAGTATTTCTTGAATCCATCCCCTTCCTTTTCACAGTGTGAAACAAAACTATCTCATATTGAATTTTTAAATAACAGAGAACTAGATCAGTGGAGCAGAATAGAGGTACCGAATTGCCATCCACGTGTATCTGAAAGGTTAGGGTTTGATCAGGCAGGCAGGCAGGCGTTACGCTTGGAGTGCCCGCTACGTCCCAGGCTGAGCTCTGGGGATACAAAGGAAACTAAAGCCAATCCCTGCCCTCAGAGAGCTCGCCGTCTGGCGAGAGAGATACCCTGGAAACACATATATACAGACAAGTCATATACAGGACAGAGGGAAGGCACTAGAAGTCAGAGGAATTTGGAGAAGTGTCTGGTAGAAGGTAGGATTTTAGTCAGGACTTTAAGGAAACTGCCAGGGAGGCCTATTTAATAAAAACTGGATCAAACATTCATTAGTTAACCTACATTCCTGGGCAGATGGATTTAGACTTATACCTCCGATGATACAGACACATACAAGCATAGCACCTATGATTGAGGGATGGACACAGGCCTTTTTTCCTGTTTAGGTGCCTGCTCTATGAACAGTAACAGGCTGTGCGCTGGACCTATGGGGACTAAATGGATGGATCAGTATGGTCACAGAACTTTTTTTTTTCTTTTTGGTGAGGCGATCAGGGTTAAGTGACTTGCCCAGGATCACACAGTTAGTAAGTGTTAAGTGTCTGAGGATGGATTTGAACTCAGGTTCTCCTGACTCCCAGGCCAGAGCTCTATTCACTGCGCCACCTAGCTGCCCCTAGAGAACTTCTGATCACTGGGAGAATACACTATGCAAATACTGAAGTGTTGCCCAGGGTGACCACCTAGGTCACAGGCTGGGTCCTTGGGAGTGTGAATATCCCAGGTTCAGGGTACTCTGGGATCCACACCAACAAAAGCATAGATTATGAGCCCCCACCTGTATATTTACCTTTTGGCAATCAGCCAGAGGACACTATTAGCTCACAACCGAAATGGCTTAGTGAGAAGAGTGCAATAAATCCTCTTCCCCATAAACCTGGGGTATAGTCTCCCACATATACACCTAGCATCTGTGGGGTCTTGATATTTTGAGGAAGGAGAGAATGCTAACAGCCAAGGAAAGGCTGACCCTTAAAGGAAGGTAGAGTTAGTCTCAAATAGAGGTGAGGAGGGAATGTATTCAGGCCTGGTAGATAGCCACAGAATTAGGAGACGGAACGAGGGCCTGGTTAATGGGATAGCCAGCAGGCTGGTTTAGCTAGGATACTGATTGTGCTGAGGCACTTAAGTACGGTAAGCTGAGAGAGGGAGGCTGGGTCCAGACTGTGGAGGGCTTGAGTGTGAAGCTGAGGTGCAGAGGACACTTTATCCCTGGAGGAAGAAAGAGACCCCTGTGGCCTCTTGAGCAGAGGAGCGACATGTCTGTGGCCCTTGGCAGTGACGTGTAGTGTGCATTGGAGTGGCGAGAGACTTGAGGCAAAGGGACTGATGAGAAGTCCAGGTGAGAGGGGAGGAGAGCTCAAATCAGGGTGGGAGAAGGGGGTGAATGTGAGATGGCGTGGAGCTAGGGTGGTCAGTAAATAGTTATCAAGCACCTACTGTGTGCCAAGCACTGTGCTAAGCCCTGGGGATACAGATGTGAGAAAAGAGAGGCAGTTTTTGCCCTAAAGGAGCCTGTAGTCTAAGGAGGGAAGACAGCACCCAAAAGGAAGCTGAAGAGGGCTAGGGGAGGCAGAGGAGCCTCAAGCATAGCCAGGCCAGAAGCAAGGGTTGGGCAGACTCTCCAGCTGTCGCTGGTTACGGAGATGGATGAGGTGAGGCTGACTCTGATCTTGTCAGCCAGCCTGGGTGACTGAAAAGGTAGTGGTACCTCAGGAGAGAAAGGGAAATGAGGAGGAGAGGCGATTTCAGTGAACAAATGTGAGTTCTGTTGCCTTTGAGATGCCCTTCTTGGTAGAGATGTGGGATGGCCAGTGGCAGTTCAGGGGAGAGATGCCATCTGCCTAGAGATAAGCGGTCTTCCGGGAGCTGAAGGGATCACCAAAGAGAAAGAGAGAGAGGGAGTGGGCTTTTGACAGAGTTGACAGAGTCTTGAGGGAGCGGCATGCTTAGGGGGCAGGAAATGGATGCTGATTGTAAGCTCCTTGAGGGCAAGGGATGCCTCTTGTCTTTTTTGTATCCTCTGCACTTAGCACAGTATGTAGTACCTAGCAAACACTTCATCAATGTGGATCATCAGTGGTCCCACAGAAGGGCCTGAAAAGAAGTGGCCCAGCAGGCGGGAGCAGTTTGTAGAGCCAGAGGCTGGTGGCCATCCTGTCTGTTCTCACGCTGTTCCTGAACGGCGAGGGTCTCGAGGGAAGGACGCCTCCCACGGCCCAGCCTGCCCGCTTTGAGCGCCTTGCCCAGCGCTAGCCTGATTATAACGCTTGCTCATTAATTAGTGCTTTATAATTAGGTCGGTAAGCGAAGAGCGAGTAACCTTTCAGAGATGATACGTGTGTGCCCAGCTTTCCCTGATCACTGCTGGATAAATAGGCGGGATTATTGGGACACCAAAATTGTACTTAGTGACATTAATGTACCTTCTGCCTTGGGATACTGTGGAGAGTCCCTAATGGCGTCCCTCCAGCGCTTCCCTCCTTTCGTCAGTCACACGTCTGCCAAAGCAAGCCAGGCCGGACCAGGCCCCAGAACTCCTTTCCTCGTTCCCCATGACCTGTATTGTGAAACAGAGAGAGAGGCAGGTCACTGGGGCTGGAGTCAGGAAACCCTGAGTTCAGATGTGGCCTCAGACACTGGCTGGGTGACCCTGGGCAAGTCACCTAGCCTCTGTTCACCTCAGTTTCCTTAGACCTCCCAGGGTTGTGGAGAGGATCAAATGAGATATTTGTAGAGTGCATAGCACAGAACCTAGCACTTACGAGGTGCTTACTTGTTTTCTTCCTTCCTATAAACTTCCTGTCTACGCCTTAGTCCATCCACAGTCTGGCTCCAACAAAGTCTGACATCAGTAGCAACTGGTTGTGTATTTGTAGAAATGTCAGGAACCTTGAGGGGCAAGTGATACTGCCATCATAAAGTCTGAGATCTTCAGTTTTGACCATTTCCTGGAATTTTCCACAGTTGCTTTTTTCCAGTGGGTGGGCTCCCATTCCCACCTCAGGAATTGTTACAGAGATCTGCAAGTGAAGACTCGTGGACTGCTTTTGAGGGGATGTTTCAGAGGGATTCGCAGTCAAGTGCTGATTCGACTGGCTTTCAAAGTCCCTTCCAATTCAGTGATTCCAAAAACAACTAAATAAAGCATCCTGACTTTTGGATGAATAGGGAGTCTGGGTCTTTCTGTTCAGAAAGTGATTTTTGACTCTTTCATAACACTGGCTCCACGTGCAGAAAACCTTTGGAAACCTTCTCATCCCCGGTGTTTTTCCTTTGTGAGAATCCTTTCCTCTCCTCCTCCTCCTCCTCTCCTCCTCTCTTCCTCTTCCTCTCTTGTTCCTCCTCTTCCTCTCCTCCTCCTCCTCCTTTCCTTTCTTCTCCTCCTTTCCTCCCTCTCCTCTTCCTCTTCTCCTCCTCTCCTGCTCCTCTCCTCTCCCCTCTTGTGAGGGTGGTGGCTGCAGGGCAGGGAGAGCTTCTCTTGAAGCTTTTCCTTGTCCTCAGGTAAGTGCTCTTGGGCCTTTTCTCTCCATCCATCTGAGAGGCCAGTGGTTGAGCTCTTGGTGGTCCTTCAGCCTCAGTCTTTTAGCTCTTCCTGGCCATAACCAAGATTGGCACTTGCTGGATTCACTTCTCACCTCTCAGGTGCTAACTTCAGACTCCCTGCACAGATAGAGTTGTTAATTAAGATCATTGAGGACAGTTTTCAACCCTCATAAGTGTCAGCTTCAAAGTTAGGATGTTGACCTGTCAGGGAGTGTTGCCCCATAATCTTGACCCCTTTTTAGATAAGATTCTGCCTCAGTTTTCTAACCTTCCAATGACAGGAACAAAGCATCCTCTCAGATGAGATCATCTATGTAATGTGTAAAGTGCTTTGCAACTCATACCTAGCTATTCTTGTTTTTAAAATGGGTGGCTCAAGTTCAGTAAGATATCAGTCATGTCCAGGGACTTAAAGTTGTTAACCCAGTGGGAGGGCACAGGACTGGTACAAGTGGGCAGCAAATATTTTGAATGGAGAAAGAGCATCAGGGAGTGTGTGATGGGACAAAAGGGTATTCCAGGTGTATACTGAGAGTAAGGCAATACCTGATAAAAACCTCCTGTGTTCCATTGTTACCTGGAGGAATACTGAGAGCATGGTTTACGCACCATGCTTAGGCCAGTGACTGGCACATGGGAAACACTGAAATGTTTCTTATTCCTTAATTCTTTACCTTCACACAGATGATATTCCCTGCTTGGGATTCACTTCCTCCTCACCTCCACTTTATAGCCTCATAGAATTCCTAACTTTCTACAAAATTCATCTCCATCAGTCATTCAGTCATTGAGCATTATAAATCACCAATCTTGCCCTCAGAGAGCTTACGTTCTGTCAGGAGACACCATGTGTATAGTCAGCAAGTCAACCAGCATTTGTTAAATACTTACTATATGATAGGTAATGTGCTAAGTGTTGGCAATAGAAATAGAAACAGAATCAATAGCCATATGAAAAAATGCTCTAAATCACAAATAATAGAGGAATGCAAATTAAAATAACCCTGATGAACCATCTTAAAACTGTCATATTGGCAAAAATGACAAGATGAAAATGAAAGATCCTGGAGGGGGTCCAGAAAAATAAGCACACTAGTGCATTGTTGGTGGAGTTGTGACTTGATCCAGCCATTCTGGAGAACAGTTTGAAACTAGGCCCAAAGGGCTACAAACCGGTGCATACCTTTTGACTTGGCAATACCACTACTAGTTCTGTATCCCAAAGAAATAATAGAAATGGGGAAAAGACCCATTTGTACACAAGAATTTATAGCAGTTCTTTTTATGGTGGGAAAGAATTGGAAATAGAGGGGGTGTCCATCAATTTGGGAGTGACTGAACAAGATGTGGTATATGATTATGATGGAAGGAATGATAAAGGGGATAGTTGTAGAAAAATCAAGGAAGATCTGTGTGAACTGATGCAAAATGAGTGAGCAGAACCAGAACAGTTTATAATATTGTCGAGCCAGCAACTTTGAAGGACTTAGGCACAGTCCACACAATGAACCACCATGATTCCAGAGGACTGAAGATGAAACATGCCTGCCTCCTAGTAGAGATGTAATGGACTCAGTATAGATTAGATTGAAGCTTTTTTTTTTTTGACATCATCAGTTCAGGAATTTGTTTTGCTTTATTATATGTGTTTGCCATTTTTTTTTCTTGCTTTTTCAGTTGGGGAGGAGGAAAAGGAGGTGACCCAGAGAGAGGTTGAACCTGAAAATAAAATAAAATTGTATTAAACAAAGAAACACCAAAAAAAAGTACAAGCAGAAAGATAGTTCCTGCCCTCAAAAAACTTACATCCTTCTTTTTCCTCCTCCCGCTCTGAAGCTTACATTCTCATGAGGACTGGGTAAAAGAGGCCATTCTTTGCCGCCGCTTTTAACTAGTCTAAATCACTGAATAGGTGTTGCCTTAGTCAAACTGAGACCTGGGAAAACCTTAGCTTAGAAAAGCCAAGGTCTCCCACTGTATCCTGGGCCATCTCCAGTCATCCTGATCTATATCTTGCCACCAGACCCAGATGGCTCCAGAGAAGAAAGTGAGGCTGGTGACTTTGCACAGCCCTGCCTCACTTAAATCCAATTGCATCACCTCCCTGGTGTCATGGTCCTCTTTGAGAATGAACAAACAACAGCAATCACATCATTCTAATGAGAGAAGACGACATGTAAAAGAAAGTGGAAGGGGTGGGTGGTTGGGAAGGGGAAATAAAGGTGTCCAGTCAGTGTCTTGGTAAGGAAAGTCTCAGGTGCCGCCTCGAGAGGAATAAGGCCTGTCTGGCCTGGGTGTCCTGGTGAAGCGGGGGCTCTAGAGAGGCCATAGTGATGGAGTGTACTTCCCTTTTGTGAATTCCAGGGCTGGACCGAGCTTCCAGCATGAAATAGTTTCTGGGACATGAATGAGACAGCCTTGAGTGCAGCTTGGAGGGAAATGAGATAGAAATGCAGTCAATATTTACAAAGTAAATGCAAGTTAATTTTGAGGGGTTAGGGCATTAGCTCCTGAGAGGATCGGGGATGGCTTCCTGGAGATGGTGGTGCTTGAGAATGTCTATGAAACAAAGGATCCCGAGAGGTGGAGGTGCAGTGGGAGCTGGGGCGGTGGCGAATTCCTCTGTGGACTCTGTTTGAGGCTGTTTGGCTGCCCTCTTGAAGACCCCCAGTGAATGTCGGTGGGGCAGGGCACAGCACATACCAAACATGCCCTGCTGTGTTCTGAGAACAGCTGATAAGCCACTTTGCTGTTGTCTCTCACCGGACAAAATAGAAGCTCCCCATTGTTCGTTGAGTGGAGGCCAGCAGGCACTCAAACATCCTGTGTTTGCTTCCCACAGGCAGGCCAATGAAGAGTACCAGGTGCTGGCAAACTCCTGGCGCTACTCCTCGGTCTTCTCCAACAAGCTCTTCTTCAGCGTAGTGGACTATGATGAAGGTGCAGATGTTTTCCAGCAGGTACCTACAGATACTTATTCTTTCTGTGGCGTCTAGTCCAATGGGTCCCAAGATGGGAACAGTTCCATTGTGATGTAAACAGCTCAAATGAGCGTTGTGTTTCTTGTGACATGCATGGGTGCCAACAGAGACTAGGGTGCATCTCTTTTGCCTTAGCCTTTGCCATAGCCAATGACTTGAGGACCACAGCACACTCACAGTTTGTCCACCTTTCAGACTGAGGGGGATGCAGGCAGCATCCACCTTTGGCTTTGAGATTCGGATTAAAGGATACATTCCCTTTGCATTCATTGTGTATGGGAATCTGGTGCCCTGTCTTTTCCTGGACGTAGGCATTCTGGTATTTGTGACCTGCCCAGTGCTTCTCCACAGCTGCCCCAGCCAGTGCACACCTTGGCCTCCCTTCATATTCCCAGGGCGGTCTGGGCTATCACTGAGGGGAGGACAGGCTTGTTCTCAGGGGCACCAGGGTGGGAGGAGTTGGAAAGAATTGAGGCCTGAGTGAATTATCCCACACCCAGGATTGCTTCTGCCACAGCCAGACAGCCTTCTTCTGCTGCTGGGCTCTTGGCTTTCCTGGCTTTTCTTTTCCATTGCTACAGTCAGCTAGAGCTCAGGCCAGGCCTGCTGGATCTTTCCACTTTGATTATCCAAGCACTGGCCTGTCTCCCAGGCAGGTGTGTGACCTGCCTTTTAAACCTGGTTTTTGATCGTTGATTTCCAGCTGTTGGCCGCATGATTTAATTCAGCAGGTTTGCCCTGTGTGCCTCGGCTTAATGCTAGCTTAGGAAATATGTGTCGTAGCACTTCATAGAAGATGTCTGTGGCGAGCTACCCTTTCAGCCCTGTTAAGTTGGCTGTAATCAGTCAGCTGCCGGCGCAGAGCTGAGTTCTTGGGGTTCACACTACAGCAGTCACTGGGCTATAATGCAGCTGCTTATCAGCAGAGACCCTTGGGATAATGGTGGCTGCAGTAGATGAAGCCCCCGCTGAAGTGGAAGCATCAGAGAAAAGGATGAGCTTGCAGACTCCTCTCGAGCATGCCCCTCATGCTTCTCCCCCTCGGGCCATCAGTGCCGGGGGCCGACCGTGGGGCTGTAGCCATCTGCTGACCGGGCTTCCTTCCTTTGCAGCTCAACATGAACTCGGCCCCGACCTTCATGCATTTTCCTCCAAAGGGGAAACCCAAGCGCGCTGACACTTTTGACCTGCAGAGAATCGGGTTTGCCGCAGAGCAGCTTGCCAAGTGGATTGCTGACCGGACAGATGTCCATGTGAGTTCCTGGGAACTGGGGGTGGGGGAGGCCTCCTGAGGAGGGGGGGGCGCCGGCAGGGCGCCGGCGACCCTCCCCATGGACCACTGACGGGTGCTCCATGTCCCTCCCTCTTCAGATCCGCGTGTTCCGGCCCCCCAACTACTCGGGCACCATCGCCTTGGCCTTGCTGATCTCTCTCGTTGGAGGCCTGCTCTACTTGAGGAGAAACAACCTGGAGTTCATCTACAACAAGACGGGCTGGGCCATGGCTTCCCTGGTAAGCGTGTGTGCATGCACATTAGGGCATGTCAGCGGGGCAGGGCTGGCGGGGGCTGGGATCCGCACTGGGGGTCTGCAGCCCTTTGGGCCCTCCCTGCTGTTTTATACCCATCTGTGATGGTGCTGTGCCAACAGCAGAGAACACCCAGGGTCATCCTTATGTGAAACCTTTCCCTTTAGGGAAGGGAGAGAAGGGAATAAGCATTTATGAAGCACTTGCTGCATACAAGCTCTGTGCTAAGGGCTTTTATAAATATAACCTTATTTGATCCTTGTAACAGCCGTGTGAGGTAGGGGCTATTATGACACCCATCGTTTTACAGTTGAGGAAACTGAGGCAGGCAGAGGTGAAGTGATGTGCCCAGATAGCGAGGATATATCTGAGGTTGCATTTGAACTCGGCTCTTCCTGACCATGGGCTCAGCGCTCTGTACTGTGCTGCTGAGCTGCCTTTGTGTTTGGGCCTAGGCAGCTTTGACCGTGACTGTGGGCTGTTTTCCTTTCCTTCTTTATCCTTGAGTTACTGTAGCCCTTTGAATCAGCTTCCCCCACGTCAGACTTTGTCCTTCTGGCTCACCAGCCCAAGGAGGGAGTGGCCACCTCCCCCCAGCCTCAGGGTCCCCATCCTTTCTACTTGAACTCTCATTTCTACCTGGTTAGTGAGAGTCGCCTCTGCCTTTGGAAGGGTGACTTTATCTTGCATCAAGTTCAAGCATTGTTAACCTTGCTGCTTGGGGCCAAGATGGAAAGAGGCTGGCCTCGGGGCCAGCGTTGTCCATCCCTTCCCCCAATGCCTTGTCTTTTCACACGTAAACACATTTGATGTTTGCACAGATCTGGGCTGGGATATGTTGTATATGGAGGGTTGTAAGTACATGTTTGTGTACATATAGACAGTTTGAACTGTAATTCTGAAATGGAAAATCATGAACTAGGACTGTGTTCGCCTTCAGACTTCATAAGGAGATTCATAATCACTGCCTTGTTAGGTCCCGCATGCCACATGATTTGATCCCCTTCAGCTGGGCATGCAATGCCGCGGAAATCTTCATGACGCCTTCTTGACATCGTGTAGCTGTGAACGACGTTGGTTCGAGCCCTTCACGCACGGGCTGCCGGTGCTCAGCATGGGTGGTCGTCGTTTTTCTTTATGCTAGTGCTCAGACTTCAGATTGCTGCTGCTACAAAGCTCATTAAGTTCAGCAGGAAAGAGAACACAATTATTGATCCCGCTGTAGTAACATCAGGACAAGAGTGGAAGGTGGATTCTGTTTCACCACACAGCAGGAGCTTCTTCTCTCCCCTTGTGGATTTAAATAAAGCCATCTTGGACCCCAGGTCTTGTTTCTTCTTGTTTGTCTCTGGTGACCATTCTCCTCACCTGGTATTTGGCAGCCCCTAGAGGTCGGGCTCAGTCTGGAATCTGCTCAGCAGCGTCAGTTTGCTCACGATAATCCGCCAGATGGTTCATGTTTTTCTTAGGTGTTGGCCTGTATTTTGTAGCATTTGTAGCAGAAATCTCAGTTATGTGTAAACCCCAAATAAGGAATCCGATTTTAATTTTGAAATGAGATTGCGCTCCTGTTGGGACTGGCTCTTGCTCCAAAGTATGCCCCATCAAGAGAAGTTCTTTTGTTCTCAGTTTGGCTGCTTGAAAGGAGAGCTGCTGGAAGCCCTGTTGCTTTTGAAATCTTTCGATTTGGTGGCTGTATTAAGAGAAGGGAGTAGCAGAGGGAAGCATCTCTGTGTGCAGTTGGTTCTGCACATTCGCCAAGGGACAGCCACCAAAAATGGCCGCAGAGGAGGGAGAAACTCAAAGAGGCAGAACTGTGAGAAGTGCTCCAAGTCTCCAACACGAAATAAGGGGAATGTGATTGAAAGATGCAGAGACCAGCGGTGACCAGAAATAACTTAGCAGTACATAGTATGCACCAAAATGCAGACATTTTTAAAAATTTTAAGATCAGTGTGATGTCCAAATTAAAGAAATAGTAAGAAAAAATCAAGGTTCAGCAGCAAATAGAAATCCATGAATGCTGTGGTATTTGTGACTTAAGTTTGCAGTTAAAAATGAATGAATTCAGGACAGCTAGGTGACACAGTAGATAGAGCTTCAGCCTTGGAATCAGGAGCACCTGAGTTCAAATCCAGCCTCAAACACTTGAAACTTACTAACTCTGTGACCCTGGGTAAGTCACTTAACCCTGATTGCCTCACCCAAAAAAAAAAAAGATTCATGTACTAAAGGAAGCACAAAATAAGCCACCTAAGAGAAATATTAGCAAAATAGAAAAAAAATTAAAAGCACTTTAATAAAGAAAATGGCCTGCAGTTTGGAAAAGAACAATACAGTTGATAAGTTTAGTTTTCAAAGAGAGAACAGGAGAACAAATTCAATTTTGAAAAATAATTCAGAAATGAGAATGACACAAGATGACAGAACCAAAGGGGAAAAAAAATATCTAGTCAATAGTCAGTAAATATTTGTGAAGAGCAGACCCAACACTGTACTACGCTCTGGGCAGACAAATATGAAAAAGAAAGATAGTTAAGGAGCTTACGATCTAATGGGAGAAGACAGGCCACAAAGCAAAGCTGAAATGGGGGGTAGGTACTTAGCATGGAGACATGCTAAAGCTCTGTCCCAAGAAAAGGAGAATCTGAAAGAAACAGGTGAATGTTTACAAGAGCATTAAATACCTAAACGGAGAAGACAAGAATCACATAACCTGTACAGATGGTAGTCAGAATGAGTAATTGAACAGGCCATTAATAAGATAGATACCTTGGGAAAAAGACACCTGGATAAGATGTAGTCACAAATAAATCCATTCACATATTCATGAATATATTATACAAGCTGTTTTCAGAAACATGGAAATATGATTCTATTCATAATACTGAGTCAAATACAGTCTTAATGTCCAAACCTAGGAATGATATGCCAGAAAAAGAAATGCAGGTCCGTATCAGAGTAATTTCATTAACAGAGATAGCCCAGTATTTTAAATAGTTTACTGGAATTGGAGTCAGGAATTCTTGGGTTCCAATCCCAGATACTAACTGGTTGTTTGAACCTCAGAAAGTCTTAGTTTCCTCCTCTGTAAAAGATATACATTATGATCAGTGAGGGTTTATACAGGGAATGTGAAGGTGGTTCAGTATTAGGAAAATAGTGAGCAAAATAAGTTGTATCATTAAAAAAACTTATCTCTACAGATGCATAAAAAAAAAGTTTTGAAAAAATATAACACCCACTTAGAAAAGGCAACAAAAGGTGGTCCGAGAATAAGAAAATTTTCCTTTAACATTAAAAATGTTTAATTGAATATAATAGAGAACCAGTTGAAGATGGACTTCATGGCCTCTACCGTTCCTGTCTGCATCATTTTGGAAAGGCTTGTTTTGACAACTTTGAGAGAAAGAAACTAAGGAATTGTCATAGTCAAGTAAGAGTTTAAAATCTCTCTCTGTCTCTCTCTCTCTGAAAGGGAGGTTTTTGAAGGTTTATGTAGACAACCCAGGAGACTCAACTGAAGAATTAATTAGGAGAATAAATACTCACATGCTCTCTGCCTGCTCAGTCTGTGGGACTCTTCAGGTCTGCCTGTAAACTTGCTTCAAGGTTTACCCAGCATGCTAATGGCCTGCCTCACTGGCTGTTGACCATATGAAACTCCCAGAGAATGACCAGCCCTCTCCCGTCATCCCTCCTCCTCACTGTGCCACCCATCCATCTTCTCTTTTCAACATGCATTTTCCTCATAGCTTTTACTCCCGTTCTCTCACGATCCTTGCAGATTCTGCAGTAGCTTACCCACAGGTGCTTTGGGCTCTCTCTCAGTTACCCTCTGGATAATGTTCATGTTCAGTCTTTCAGAGGCACGCAGCTACAGGGGTAGGATGTTGGTATTAGAAAGATGGCCTTTTGTCTGCGGCGGAAGCTTGGGGTCATTAAAAGAGCTTTGCTGCTCTGGCTGGCTCTCCTGATCCAGTTCAGCTATGGGCCTAACCTGTCCATCTGCTTTCTACCTCGGATATCCCTGCTAATGGACAGAGTTGCCCACAGGATGGATTGGCTGACCATTTAGGTGCGTGTGTTATATTCTGGGCCACAGATGCTCTTTGTTGAGGGACTCTCTGCTGGGTAAATGGTCAGGCCAGACCCTTCTGCATGGATGTAAATGTCTTCCAGGAGACTGACTGCTGTAGCACATCCCCAGTCAGTTCCCTGAAGGCTCTCTGCTACTTAGACTCTGTGTTTGTCTTCCTCCATTGCAGGGGTGCACACTTTGGCAAATATACATCTGTTTTATGCTTTGGCTGAAGTTCAGGGTTAGAAAGTTATTAAACAAGGTTATTTCTCTTACTTTTTTTAGGAATCATGAATGATTTTGATGTATGGATGAAAGGAACTTTGTGGGAAGGGAGCCTTTTCGTAATCTATTGATGGTCATGTGGGATCTAGCATTCGCTACATCTTTTAGTCAGTTGCTCAATGTAAAGATGTCCATTTTAGAAGATTGCTTGAAAAAGCCTACTCATTTCTTCACTAATAGCCACATGAAGGGTGCCAGGGATTCCTGAGCAGGTGAGTCTCATCAGGGTTTCATAAGGTAAAGGGATGGACCCCAGAGAAAGAACTGATAAAGTCTGAATGCAGATCAGAGCATACTTTTTTTTTAACTTTATTTTTCTTGGGTTTTTTTTCCTTTTTGGTCTGTGTTTTCTTTCACAACATGACCAATATGGAAATATGTTTTGCAGGATTGAATGTATATCACCTATATCAAAGTGCTTGCTTTCCAATCAGGGTGTAGGGGAAGGAGGAAGAGAATTTGGAAGTCAGAATTCTAAAAAATGAATGTTAACCATTGTTTTTACATGTGATTGGGGCAAAAAAAAATGCTAAATAAATAAAGACAAAGGCTTGGAGCCAAGATGGTAGAGTGATGGTCAGCAGTGCATTGACCTCCCCTCCATAGACTCTTCCAAGCA